AGTACCAAGGGACTCAGATCCAAGAAAGACTGTGCTGCCAAGGACCAACAGCATATACAAAAGACAGACCTGTCCTCTCGTCAGAGAGGGCGCCCCACAGAAACAAGACTGTAACTCTCAGACAGTAATAAGTATCTGGTCATGAGGCTCGGAACCAAGACTTACTGACTGACTGACTGACTATCAGTCGCAATGTGACTTTGACTTTGGCTTCCAGAGGAGTTACGAATTATGAGTAGTTGAAATGTTGCAGCTGCCACAGTGAGTTGAAGTCTAGCATTCGCCAAGTGAAGTCGAGAAGTGACTACAGCAGAAGGACTAATTGTGACATTGTAAAGTGTATAAATGTAAAAGCGAAGGAGAATAAATATTCACTTCAACCTTGACCTACGTGAAGTTATTTGTCACGTTACACACACAGCCAACATACGACAATATATACAAATTGTGAAAGTTTATTTTTCTTTTGTTATTTGATATAGTGCTTGGAAATTTGTTTCTACTTTATGTGCTAATTACTGTACACAAATTGCAGATGTCACAAGTGAAAATTACAGAATATACTTCAGTCTATCAATCTACATTAAATCACACTCCAGAAGACAGAAATCTTCATAGTCACTATGCTGATACCATAGTTGTGAGATCTGTTCATTGTACATCCAAGGTCAACAGTGCAATCCTGTTCATATATCAGTAGACTTTAGTAAATACGTCAGTTGAACAACAATAGTCTGTTGTTTGACATGTTTACTAAGCCCTGTTTGTCTATTCAGGACAGTGGAATGCACCAACTGAAATTTGTTCATGCCAGCCATGAAAATTTGGAAGCAGGTGTAGGTCTGGGTTTCTCAGAAGTGATGTGAGGGGCAAGAGCAGGTGGGACATATAACCCAGGCTATTACTGTATCAAGCACTGCTTTGAAGAACATTTTTATGCTTTACTGGGTTTAAAAAGGGCATGAAATCCAGCTCTTTCCTAAATAACTTCTATCAATGGGTTTGAGGACAACATTAAATATTTTCAAATATCGTGCCTCATACCTTCTGCAGTTGCTCCTCTTTGGTGTCAGTGCTCATCTTTAAATCTCCATTAATTTTTTGTTCATAAACTACATCATGTCTGTGCGGGTATGACAGAATTTCACACAAAATCACATACTTTTTAGCTGTCCTTTATAAAAATTTCTCAACATATGAAACTCACTTTAACATTTAATGAAACTTATATTCTATGTACACAATATGTGGAGCATTTTTAATATTTTTCAGTCTTTTTTTTATACTGTGCCTACTACTACAAGACAATCTTCCACATTTCCAACTAATATGTCATCTATTTACACAACTGCATTTGCTTCTATGCTGTAGATTTGGTGATACATCCAACACCAGATACCACCTGATAAGCCACTGCATATAGCCATAATCTCACAAATTTTCATGCTACTGATTATCCACTTCATGACAGTTTTTCTGAAACAGAAATATGTAGTTGAGTAACTATCAGTGTAGTAAATTATTAACCCCATACTTGTTTTTGCGTTATAAATGTATAACTCGAAATTATACTATAGATTTTAAGAGTCATACCTATCAAGGTTTATTTAGAAATGTCTGGAAATATGGTACCTTAATGCTGAAGATGGTTACATCAGTATAGTGATTTGCCTGTAACCTGCACTAGGGTCTGATTCCATGTAGGAGTAGTACTTCCTTTTATTACCAGCATAGCCAGACCGGCTTTGGGACTTCTCAAGGTACCTATGCCTGTCAGGGTTTTGCCCCGTGGGGTTGGAGGAAGGAGGAGGCTTGAACGTGCTGACCATTCTAATCTGTGTACTACCAATTTTAGGAACAGACGGAGCGACGCAGCTGTACATCTACTACCTCATACGATTTCATGGCGTGGTGCTTAATTAAGCATTGGGACAATACCTTTACCTTCAACACTTAAAACGCTTAAAACTGTATACATATCCATTAACCTAACTTATATACTTACACTTTCCATACATTAACTCAGACCTGATTGCATATTACACAATATGAATTATTTTAAAGCTATTCATTGTATTATTCATCACTCTCATTTACTACCAATATGATGGTATAATAAACAAGGCTGATGTGGAACGTAACATTAATATTCCAAAAGCGAACATATTCCGTGTCCCATATCCACCGATATAGTCAAGGTAACATTTATTTTAATAGTAGTACATTTAATGCAGATTTTGCAAGAATTTTATTAACTATATAATTCTATACGTTAATATGCCAACTGCTAGTAGGAGTGGAATTATTAAGTGAGAGTTATATAGTTCAACGACCTTGAGGTGTTATGACTGAGTTTCGGCCATGTTTGTTGAAAGGGATGTGGGATGAAAAGCGTTTAATTGTTGTTTTACGTTAGAATTTTTGTGCTATTTGGCTGCATATTGGTTTTAAAGGAAGTTGATATTGCAATGGAAGGAAGCGACAGAGGTAAGTGTAATATTTAAGTTAACATTGTTCATAGAAGAGGCAATATTTTGACAACATTGAGGGCAATGGCAGTGTCAGGGTCGGAGACAGACCTGGTTCAGTGACCGCGTTTTATTTCATTTTGGGGTAGTATAAGCCGAAAGATAAGACTAATATGCCTTGATCCATCATCGTTGTTGCCAGTGTTAATATATTTTCCAACTAAATAGAATTTATTTGTAGAATAAAAATTTGGGCTGAATTTATTTAAGCTTGTTTGTACTTTGATTACTTGACGGGTTGAATTTTATCCCCGACATAGTAAATTAAAATTATGGAGAGAGTATTCTTTGTTTGTATCCACTGCCACATCCATTGCAGCTTGTAGATGTGATAAATGAAAATAGTAACTTAAGAATGCGGTACATATTTCACTTATGTCAACATTTGCTACTGACATGTTACCTTGTCTTTAACCACCTGATGTTAGGACAAGTAGGCATTCGTGTGTATATATATATAAGCTTGGCAGGATACTCATTAAAATGTTAAGATTACTTAATTTAAGTAAGACATTACCTGTAAGGGTAGCTATTTACAGTCTGCAGAGCCTTTCCCCTAGCTTTTTAGTGGGGGCCACAGGATTCCTTTGCACTGATAAAATGTGTGACATATTGCAATGTCTTGATCCACTTTCATAAGCACAAAAATCTGGGAGTGAAGGACAGATGAAAGATTTACTGGGGTCAGAGGAATGCAAAGTAATTGTTGAATTTCACTGTAATTAAATTGTAACACATGCAAGCCACTACTTTTGTCATATTTGGTGTTACATATCCTCTGATGTCTTCCACTTCCCTTTTGTTTTGCAACTGCACTACAAATGGGGTGCTGAACTTGTTTGCTTCTGAAAACACTTTTGTCTGAATGTGGTTTTTTGAGGTAGGAATGACAGTGTATTTGGGAACACCGGGAAGTGTTCAAATCTTCATGAACCCCTCTGAGCATTATTGTTTCTTTGCTGTGTTCTTCAGCAATACAGTACTCCAAGGCTATTGAGGGAATTTTTATGACAGCCTACACATAAAATTGTCTGGGTTTCTTGATCTACTCTTCATAAGAGTTTCGGAAACTTGTCTGTGTTCCTAGCCATTAATTGTTCCTCCAATCCTGTCACGTGCACCTTTCCATGTGACAGTGTGCAGAGGTGCCACTTGGCATCCATACCAAAATCATCTTCATAATAGCAAGAGCTGATGAAGTTTTTCCTACCTTTTTATGTTGAGGCAGCACCAAAATAATAAATCTTTCAACTAGACACAAAGAAAGCTGCCCAGTTTACCTTGAAAAAAGTGCACAGCTACAGCATCATGTTTTAAACAATATGATGCAACAACAGAATTGATGTGCTCTGTCATTTTATTTTGTTAAGAATTAGCCCCAAACAGATGAAGAGTTGCCTGCGCAACTCATCTTTGTCTTGTATAATGGAGCAGTAGTTTTCAGAAGAAAAAGAATCACAAAGAACAGCAGTTTCTCCATTTATGAAGGAGTGTGTTTTAACTTTTCTGCAAAAAGACTCATGAAAGTCACAGCAAGATTGCCTAGTTGCTTCCAAAACTGAGTTGTTGGTAGCCATCCACTGTCTGTGGGTTATATTGCCTATGTTGTTATCTTCAGATATTTATTAAATATTTCTGATTAGATTCTCAGTCCCTGGACACATCTCACAGCCTACCTGGTAGCAACTTACATCTGGCACATTACAAATAGTTTTTGAAGAACAGTCAAAAGTTTTTACATTCTTTTCAGCCAAATCATACAGTTTTGCACCAGAATTCAGAAGTTTCATATTCTGGCCATAATTCTGCAAACTTTGAAAGGTCTAGCAACTTCTCCTTAAAACTTAAGTAGGCTTCTTTTAGGTTTTACAATATACGTAGGTTGTACCAAAAGTCATGGGCAACTTTTTTTTGCATGCAACCTGGGAACAGCAGACGAAAGAGAGTAGGGTGGTAGGTGGAACCAGCTGTTGTGTTAACCTTGAGTGTCGTGTGATGTCAATAGCTTGCATCACATGACCAGTATCACTCCTAACAAAATGGCCGACAACCATATGTCAATTCGCCAGTGTGGTGTCATCAAATTTCTTGTGAAAGAGGAAATCNTACAGGAGATGATTGAAAGCTTGGGCTTTAGGAAAGTTTGTGCTCGTTGGGTCCCGCAGTTATTGACCAAAGACCACAAAGGTCAGCGAAAAGCCATCACCTCAGAACTGCTGCAGAGATATCGACATGAAGGCGATGATTTCTTGCTCTGTATTGTGATAGGTGACGAAAGCTGGTTTCACCATTTCGAGCCTGAAACGGAACGGCAGAGTATGGAATGGCACCATTTGCATTCTCCATGAAAAAAGAAAGCAAAGACAGTGCCATCAGCTGCAAAGGTGATGGGCAGAGTCTTCTGGGATGCAGAGGGGTTTATTCTGGCCAAATTGCTGGAACCTGGGCAAACCATCAATGCTGCTTGTTATGTCCAGACGCTGCACAAGCTCCATCGTGCATTGCGCGATAAACGTCTGGGATGAAACATCATCCTGTATGACAATGCTCACCCCCACGCCACTCGCCTCACATTGGAAGCAATTGTAAAGATGGGTTGGGAAGTTCTTCCACATGCCTCCTATAGCCCTGATCCGGCACCCTCCGACTACCATCTTTTCAGATTTGTGAAGGATCAGCTGCGTGGACAACGTTTTGAGACAAGGGAGGCAATTCAGAAAGCAATGGGTCAATGTCTTCGGATGGCTGGAAGGGAATTTTACAGAAGGGGAATTTTCAAACTCCCAGAACGCTGGGAGAAATGTATACAAAGAAGTGGCGATTATGTGGAAAAATAAAGAAAGGTCTGTAGATTGAGGTGGTGTATTTGGTTTGTCAATAATAAAGCATGTTACTTTACAAAAAATTGTTGCTCATGACTTTCAGTATGACTCTCATAGGTCCTTTTTGAACATATTATTTTATCTCTAGCATGACTGTGCTGATTTGATCAGATACATAAAATTGGCCCACCATTTTAGCAGTTGTAGGTAGACAAAATTCCTTTCTCAGCACCCCTGTCACGGTAGGTATGTCCTTCTGATGGGGTGGATATAAATGAGTCTCTCAAATGTTCAGTTTCTGCCTTCACTAATTTTCTTGTATCTGTATAGTTCTGTCACCATATTATTTTCTTACTCATTGGCCCTGTTAGCATGCTGAATGTCTTCTGTATCATCCCATATTTATCATCTCAACTTCATACTCATTTGCCTATGCCTATATGTTTACTGTAACAGTTCTCATTGTGTTCCTTTTTTAGGGTTATTTATTTCTTAGTTTTTAAGGTTCCTGCAGTTATAAACTAACACACCAACAGGGATCTTTCCTATCTCAATTGTGCTGTCTTATATTTTTGGCATGACTTCCAACTTGATCCCCCAGTGGGAAAGTCAAGTGTGCAAGTCCAGATATAGAGCCTGGACTGTGCAAGTCCAGATATGGAGCCTGGACCGTAAGTCATATACACCCATGTAGTGCCCATTTTAGAGCCCAGATGGCATAGCTATTCTGATGGTTGTGTGACTGTTGGTTTGGCTGTACCATTCTGATGTGTTGCTGCTGACCGGGAGCTACAGTGTAATAACTGAAAGTCCCCTGAAGCTGTGTAAGCATAGACTTATACATGCCTGCATGTCATGGTGTGGAGAGCCATGGGCTGTTATTCCCATGGTAGGAGCATAAAATCACAGCTTGCCAGTGGTGTAGGACTTGATGTTTGGAATTATCAGTGGGATTACTCGTACATCAAGTCATGGAGGATGTCCCCACACAATCACAGACTGGAAGATTTATGCATCTCATATTTTTCTGACACCCCAGTGGCAGGCTGATGCTGATGGTTCAAGAGTGTGGCTATTGTGGCTATTATGTGCCCTTCAGGCACCCCATTACAACATAAATTAGATTCAGACATCAAATTGTCTTCCAAAGCATTTAATGTTAAAATGCCAGCTCCACACTTAATAAAATTTAAACTCAAAGATTCAGAGAGGTTTGGACACACCCAGCAAAGATCTGCTTCAAAGGCTGTTGACAACTGTGATGAGCCTGGGTATAGCTGATCACTGTGCTGTGTGAGCTGCTTCAGAACAAGTGTCTGGCAACAGGAAATACCCTGTGTATCAGGATTAGAAGGCCATTCAGGAAGTTTGGGTCAAGGAAAATCTTTTCTTCAAGGATGATTTTAAAATATTCCTAGAAACCAAAGCTGAGACTAGGAGCTAGTCTTATGCACCAGCTCTTTGTGGCTTGCCGTGAGTTGATACCTTCACTTAGAGGGAAGCCTTCCTCACCCAGACCAAACAACTTGTCCACAAACTCAGCCAACATAATAGTATTCTGTCAGATTACTCATACTGACAGTCCCTCCAGTTCTGTTGTACCTGGTGCATGGATACATTTGTATCTGTCACTGGCAGATGATACCCAAACTCGATGGACTCTTCATCAGATCACCAATTAGAAAACAGTGTCCTTCATTCTGGTTCCATTCTGCTTCATGGGCTAATCAGTATGGAACCATGACTATGTTCCATCGTAATGGGTCTTTGTCTGACACACCAAACTTCCTGGCAGACCTCCACAGCATTCTGTAACTAAAGAGCTGGGAGATCGAAATGATCCC